GCACGTTCTTTTCAAATGCACACGATCATTCTCAAGAATAGACCAGTTGTTGTTGTCAAGAGCCATAGTCATTCCGACTCATAACGACCCTTGTATAGGGTTTCTGAGGAGCAGCTGGTGGGTTTAAACTGCCGACCTCTTAGTTCACAATACAGAGCTGACCTACAGCACCACAACTGGAATCCAAACCACACATGAGGCTATTAAAAAAGTCCCAATTTGGTTTTCAAGCACAATGAAATTAAATTAGAACTCAACAACAAAACAAAATTTAAGAAAGTCACAGATATGCAGAAATTAAACAACATATTTAACCTTAAAGTTTGTCATTCTTTTCTTTATGTGAATTTTTTTTGTATTTATGCTTCCATTTTATTGTTTTTAACAATTAAACTACCACCTCAGTAGTCTTAAGAGCAATATAATGAAACATATGTACATTGAATTTAGACTTATGTCTGTCATAGTTTCAAAGTTTCAAGACTGGTATTCACAGCTTTTTTCTTTAAGGAAAGAAACACTAACAGTAATTTTGTTATCCTTCTACCCACCCACCCTCATACAAATAAAAGCTGGATGAATTCAAGTCTAATAACCATTTAAATTTTTTGTCTGCTACAATACATTCATCTGATATGCCTCCCTGCATAACACATATTTCTTAAACCTAACAGAAATGAATTTTGGTTGGTTTTTTAAAGCCAACTTCTCTTGAAATATGGAATTTTATCATGATACTGATATTTTTGTTCAATATATACTTTGACTAAGGGGTTTTACACCACAATCAACCCTAGTGAATTTCAATACAAACAGGAAAGCGCTTCACAGTTGCAAGTCTCTTGAGTGAATGAGGCTATTTCCTTATTACATGAAACAAAATATGGTATTGGATTTTCAACAGTACTATTTTAATAGCTCCTAAACAGGGACATGAAGGAGATTCAAGTTTATACAAGTCCAAGTACCTACAGTAATACGACAGAAGCATTCACCACCCTTCAACATTTCACACTATCTCATTCCCATGCCTCTAAGAACAAGAATTTCTCACTAGAAATATTGTATTAACACTGGACTCTCAAATTGCTAGGTGTGAAAAATCCCTTTATTTGTTAAGTGTATTAATTATTTTGCTGCTGGTCTAAGGTTGAAAAGACCATTTGTATTATTCTTAACTGAAGCTCTACACTTTAGATGCCTTTTTAAACTGTCTTGTTGTTAGGTGCCATCGAATCAGTACCAACTCATAGTGACACAACAGAACGAAACACTGCCCATTCCTGGGCCAACCTCACAACTGTTGCCATGCTTAAGCCTGTTGATGCTGACACTTTGCCAATCCGTCTCACTGGGGGACTTCCTCATTTTCTCTGACCCTCCACCTTGCAAACATGATATCCTTGTCCAGCGACTGGTTCTTTTGGCAGCCCATGGCACTTTCAATATTCTCCTCCAACACCATAACTCAAAAACATCAATTATTCTATGGTTTTCCTTATTCACTGTCCAGCTTTCACATGCACACGAAGTTACTGAAAATACCATGGCTCGGGTCAGGTGCACCTTAGTCCACTGAACTGTGCTCATGAGGAATCTGTACCTAGACCAAGAGGCAGTTGTTCAAACAGAACATGGGAACACTAAATGGTTTAAAATTAAGAAAGGTATGCAACAGGGTTGTATTCTTTCACCATACTTATTCAACCTGTATGCTGAGCAAATAATCCGAGAAGCTGGGTTATATGAAGAAGTCTTCCAATGAATCTTCCATAAATCTTAGAATACAATACAAAACTCTTCACTATGGTGTAAAATGCCCTGGGGCATGACCTGATGCCTAATCACCTTTCCAACCTCATCTCCTCCGTATCTGTTTCACTCATATACTGTGCGTCACGGGCCTTTGTGCAGTTTCTACAAGTCAACAAATTTTCACTGTCTAAAATGAACTTTGCTTAAATCTTCATATTTGCTTTTTTACAGATGTCATCCAAAACATCTCCTCCCCTAATCTTTCCATAACCCAGTCATTCTTTATCCCAATACTCTCCTTCCCTTTAGCCTATTTTAAACTGTCTTCAGAGCATCTATTACTTTAGAACATTTTATACATACTCATTATTTTTATTTTTCTCCACTAAAATGTAAGCTCTGTTACTTCTGGGCCATTATTCCCCTTGTTCTTGGCTGAGTCACTAATACTTAGAACAGTGCCTAACACTTAGGAAATACTCAATAAATATATGTTGAATAAATGAATTGAAATTATACCAAGCACTTATAAAGAAAAAATATATAGAATTAAAATTATAACTATATATAAGAATTCAATTTTAAAATTATTTTATTATGTGTGTTACACTCTAAGGCATTTGAAATACTTTGCTTACTTGTCATGACAAGTAAAAGACAAATAAACTGTAAGCTCAGACATTGGTTTACATTATTGTTGTTAAGTGCCATTGAGTGAGATCCGACTCATAACAACCCTGTATAGGGTTTCCAAGATTGTAAATCTCTGTGGAAGTTATGTTATCATCACTGTGAGTTGGAATCAACTCGTGAAACACAACAAAATGCAGAAATAAAGGGAGCCACTGTATAATGATAAAAGTGCCAATTCATAGAGACACAAAATAATACAGGTAAAAACTGCAGGATAAGCACTGGACTACTAACCACAAGATCAACAATTCAAATTTACCTGCTGCTCTGTAATAGAATGATGAGGTTGTCTGCTCCAGTCAAGATTGACAGTCTCATAAACCCTATGTAGGGTTGCTATGAGTCAGAATCAACTCAACATCAGTGGCTACGTTAATAATTGTCATTGTTAGGTGTCATTGAGTACGTTATGATGCAAAGCAACCCATACAGGATTTCCAAGGCTATAAATATTTATAGAAGCAGAAACTCTCATCTTTCTTCCACAATGTTATTAACAGGGCTTCAAGACACATGAAGTGATAATTTGACAATATTAAAGGAATAAATAGTCAATGCCAGCCAGAATCTTAGTTTAAGATTTAAAAATTTTTTATTCCAGCAATTGAAAGAATAACTATACAAAAAAAAAAAAAAATCAACGAAGATGTTGACAAAACTATCAACCACCTTGACTTCATTGATATCTACAAAACCACACCACATAGTACAAGGGGGCTTCAAAAAGTTAATGGAAAAAAATAGAATGAAAAGATAATGGATATATATTCCTGCATGTTTTTGTGTATATCCAAAGGGGGGAAAAAAGACGGACTAGAGGCAAATACTGTTAACTGATGGCACATGGAGGAGATTGTAATCATTGCAATGATACAAAATGCAATTGGTTGCATGCAAAACTAATGTTTGCCATGTAAACTATCACTCAATTCACAATAAAAAAATTTTTAAAAAAGATAATGGAATTTCCCCATGAACTTCTTGATGTCCCCCTGTATATTTATTATTCTGAGTGCTCACAGTAATTCACCAAGATAAGCCTTATAGTGGGCAATGAAACAAGTCTCAATACATTTAAAAACACTGATCTCATACAGAAAGAAGGCAGGTGCTGAATTTTTAGCATGTGATTCAATTCTCCATGACAACTCATGATCACTTAATTATACTAAAGTATGCACCCCAAGGGAGGAAGTTTCTCTTGGTGACTTTTAACACCTTATAACATCAATCAGCAAGTACAGACTCGCTTGAAAGGACGTTCACCAAAGAGAACGTTCAAATGACCAACAAATACACGAAGAAATGCTCAACATCATTAGCCATCAGTGAGTTGCAAATCAAAATGACAATGATATACTATCACACTCCCATGAGGATGTTCTTGTTGCTGTTAAGTGTCATTGAGTCAGTTCAGACTGACAGTGACCCCTGTATAGGGTTCCCAAGGTTGCAAAACTTTGTGGGAGCAGAAATTCTCATCTTTCTCCAACAGAGAGGCTGGTGGGCTTAAACTGACAACCTTGAGGTCCGCAGTCCAGCATTAATCCTAGAACAGTTAACATAAAATAATAACAAATGTTGGCAAGGATAGTGGGAAATGGAAACTCTTCTCTTATCCCTTGCTGGTTGGAACACTGAACGGTACAGTTATGGAAAGCATTGTGGTGGTTCCTCGAAAAACTAAAAATATAAGGAAGGCTTCAAAAAGTTTGTTAACTTTTTGAAAATTCAATTATTTTCCAGTTTAATTTTTACATGAACTTTTTGAAACCCACTCATATAATTTCTAACAGTAAGTTGCACAACACCTATAAAAAGTTGAAATGACAAAAGTCGTGTGACAAATATATTTATAAAAATGAAAAAAAAAAAAAAAAAAAAAAAAAAAAAAGAAGACAAGGAGCTGCTATGACTACTTAATTACAACCAAACATCTCATGGAATTTGGTTTCTTGATTTGGAAGCTTAGGGTCATAGTTTCATGGAACATCCCAGTTAACTGCCTTAATAACATATTCTAAAATAAATTGGGAGCTAAAGGACAGGTAGGCTCACTGAAAGAAAATTATATATAACACAAGTCTTATATTTTTTAAGGAAATATATATAATTATGATGATATATTAGGGGGGAAATTTTTTTCCTGCTTAAATACCATTCTGAAAATAAGCAGTCATGGACAGGGAACAAATGTTAATTGTTTTAAGTTGAAGAAATGAAAGGTACTCACCATATCTCTATCTAAAACACCAGTATATAAATAAGCAAAGTCAAAATCTATATAAGTAGCTACAATTAATTCTACCAAGAAGTTGAATTTTTTTTTTTTAATTCTAATCTCAAAAGTACAGAAGTACTGAACATGGACAGGACACTTTCAAAGCACGAAAAAGAAACTTATTCACTAGTTTCCAGCTCAATATAGCCACTGTACATTCTGCTGAAGTACATATTACTCAGATATTAATAACTGTACTGAATCAATAAAATGTTACATTAAAATAAGAAATCAGCACAGAAAATTCTATGGAAGTAAATGAAGTTTCTACCTTTGGCCATTTGGGATTGAGAAGTCGGGCTTTGATGGCATCATCCAGTGCCTTGTCATACTGCTGAATTTTCATGTAGGCTGCAGATCTATTGCTGTATAATATGCAGTTCTGAGGGTCAACAGCCAGGGCTTCATTATACAGAACAATAGCTGTGTGGAAATCTCCATCATGACAAGCCTGGTTACTTTGACGAACTTTCTCAACAAATTCAGCTTTACTCAGCACTGGTCCATCAGAACTTCTTCGGCCAATAGTCTTAGCACCAAAGAAAGGAATCTGCAAACAAAGAAACTTTATCAGAAAACTTCAGACAAAGGGATTTCTTGTCTGAACCTCAAGAAAATTTGGACACCCTTCATAGTCTGCTTTATATTAGAAGTAACTTTTGTGTCTTGAAATATAATAAGCTTTCCAAGAAGCAGAAAGTACACCCAAGAAGTAGCAGTTTAAGGTAAGATGGTGGACTAGGCTGAAAGGCTACATAGATGCTGTACAACAAACATAAAGAAAACCAAATGAAACAGATGTAGAGATAGTTCTGAACGCTGAGTTTCAGATAACGGAATAGAGAAGTGGATTGACTGCTTACTAGAAGAGTGAGCTGAGCAGACGCAGAAAAAAAAGAGACTGATGACCTATGCCAGCCGACTAGATACGGTGCAGCCATCGGGAGCTTTTGAATGCAGCTTCAAAGACAAGAAAACAATTGGTGTTGCAGTGGCTCACAGAGATAAAGATGCATTTTGTTTGTTTTTTTTGTTCCCTACACTCTCCTAGTGACCAAAGGAATGGCCAGTCCCCAACCATGTACACCCCCAGGGAAGCTCCTGCTCACTCAGTGTTCAGAGTCTCACATAGGTGACTAAAGGAGTTGTTTTGTTGTTGTTAAGTGCTGTTGAGTCAATTCTGACCCATAGCGAACCTATACAGGGTTTCCGAGGAGCAGCTAGTGAGCTTGAACCACCAACTATGAAGTTCAAATGGCTTTACAGTCTGGTGCATTAACCCACAGTGCCACACCAGGAGTTGTAAGCACCATCAAAAGAGGGAGGAGCTACCCGCATTAACCCAGATCTGGTGGGCCCTGACCCAAATCTGCAGAGCCAGCCAGCCCTGTTCAGTCCAGGACTAGCTCTAACTAGGAGAAGCAGCTGAACAGATTGGGGGGGGGGGGGGAGGCGGGAAAAAAAAGAGGTGATCTATGCCAGCCGATTACATGTAGCATGGTCATCTTGAAGTTTCGTGGGTGACTTTGAAAGCAAGAGGGCAGTAAGTGTGCAGAGGCATACCACTTACCGGTGAACAGAAAGATATGAAATTTTTTCTTGCATCTCATATTACCCTGGTGACCAGAAGTGTAGTTAGTCCCCATCTGCATACATTCCCAGAGAAGTTCCTGCTTTCCTAGCTGTCGAAGTTGTATCAAAGTATGTAGGGAACTAGCAGCACCAGTCCTGGAACCTGCAATCAGGTGTGGCTTGTTCCAGACCTGCAGAACTAGCTCTAGTCAGCCCTAGACTAGAAGGACCTCTCACCCTTAGGTACACTCTGGGATAGAAATATCATTATCTGTCCCATCCTCCCCCCTCCCCATCTATTTTAGGATCTGAACAAACTACTTCTGGACTGGATGCCCAGAAGACACACACTTAGCCCTACAAGAAGTCCATCCAGGGTTGTATTGAAATTCACTAGGGTTGATTGTGGTGTAAAACCCCTTAGTCAACGTATATATTGAACAAAAATATCAGTATCATGATAAAATTCCACATTTCAAGAGAAGTTGGCTTTTAAAAACCAACCAAAATTCATTTCCGTTAGGTTTAAGAAATATGTGTTATGCAGGGAGGCATATCAGATGAATGTATTGTAGCAGACAAAAAATTCAAATGGTTATTAGACTTGAATTCATCCAGCTTTTATTTGTATGAGGGTGGGTGGGTAGAAGAATAACAAAATTACTGTTAGTGTTTCTTTCCTTAATGAAAAAAGCTGTGAATACCAGTCTTGAAACTTTGAAACTATGACAGACATAAGTCTAAATTCAATGTACGTATGTTTCATGATATTGCTCTTAAGACTACTTTAAAGTGTTAAAGAGCAGAGATGTCAGCTTGAGGACTAAGGTGTGCCTGACCCAAGCCATGGTATTTTCAATAACCTCATATGGATGCAAAGTTGGACAGTGAATAAGGAAGATAGTAGAAGAATTGATGCCTTTGAGTTGTGGTGTTGGAGTAGAATACTGAAAGTGCCATGGACTGCCAAAAGAACCAA